TTTTTTTTTACCTCAGATGTATCTGTATCAAATGAATTGATTTTCGAAGCAGTATTGTGCAAATCCATGACCAGTCGCATTTAGGTATTTGTTAGAAGAAGTGAGCCAAAAATTCCTCCAACCTTCAGCGCAAGCAAGCCACAAATGGACTTTATCCCTGGTAATTTTCGAACCTCTTTTTCCACATTTCAAAATAATTCCTTGGTGCTTATTATTCTCTTTTTCATGTTCCCTTCCATACGCAATTTCCTTCAATTTTTTCTAGGCCTAAAGTCATGCATGACTTCAAAGCAATATCTTATTCTTTTCTTTGTCATGGGAGGTGGGATTGGCATGTTCAATTGCCTATACACCATCATGCAGGTAGACATCTTCAAAAGTTGTAGTCCTTAATGATAATTCTTCTATAGGAACTACTTTGTCCTTCCGGATATTCCAACTCTTTCGTTGGCATTTGTGCTGCCTTGATGATCATTGGAGGTATCGTTGGCGCTGCTGGAAGTGGTTAGTTTGCCCTAGCTATGAATCACAAATTTTTCCATGTTGTATGGCTCATGTTATGCTCGATTGCAGGTATTTTTGTTGATCGCACAAAAATGTACGAGGAAACTATGAAGGTCTCAATGGGGTTAGCTGTTGTATTTGGTCTCATTTTCATGCAGGTCACAATTTTCTACGCTAGAATTCTATCGATGCTCAGTGTCTCAATTTTTCTCCTTTAGCTCACGCTGCACCCCAACTTCGCACCTTTCCTCGCAGCTACATGTGTTTTATTTGGAATTTTTGGCTTAGCAACCTATCCTGTTGGTTTGGAGCTTTCTGCAGAGTGCACATTCCCTGTATCAGAAGCTACTTCTACTGGGCTCATCGTTTTGTCTGGACAGGTGACAAGGCTTTCCGAGTTCTATTCTAAATCTTGTAATTATCTATATGCTTATATGTTATCTAAATGCTATCCGAGGAGTTTTGAAGCATTTGAATTCGTTTGACTTTCTGATTTAAAGTAATAGTTCACCGTAATCTCTTAACTTCAGGTACAAAGTGTTTTGTATGTCCTCATCATGAAGCAGTTCAGTCGACCACTGCAGCCTGAACGAATGGACATCCAGGTACTGTTTTTAGAAAATTTCATCTATTTCTCAACTGAACAGTAAAGAAGAGGATTTATCATTTCCCATTCCCAATTATAGGTTTGTTCGTTAGATGCAAATGATACCTTGAATCAGCCGAAGGACAACACTCAGGCTGTAATGGTCAGTTTCTGTCGTATATAAACTGGATTCCAAAATCATCTGAGATAATGTTTTTCATGAAATTCTAATCAATCCCATAGATCTGCCGTATTCATAAAATTTTAGGTTTTCTCTTTATTGGCAGCACTGCTCGTTCTTGTGCTGGTGATTCTGTTCAAGCCAGTATATCGTCGAATTGAAGCCGAAAAAGAAAACAGGGCTCGCCTCGATAAGGAAAAGGAAGCGCGATCAAACGAGCAGAAGATCACACTTCCTCGAGAAACTGCTATCCAACCTTTAAATGAACCGCAACAGCTTTAAAGATCATTGTAATGGACTGATTATACAGTGACAATGTCTCAAGACTCGTTTTGTTTATATTACGTGGACCTTCCTACCTATCATACTCCAGATTTTATTATGTTGTAAATGGATTCAGTTATTCAAACTGCGTTTAATTTTGATAATCTCTATCTAACAAAAAAGCTGTTTAGTTAGCAATATTGTTGTCGTTCCAATTCCATAATTGAGCTTAGATCTTTCAGTTCCTTTATGTGCCCTTTCACTAGAATGCTTACTTTAATACTCAAGCAAGAAAGAGCATTTCTTGAACTTTGAACTCCCAATAATCAAAGCATCTGGTTAAAGAGGCATTTAAGTTGAACAGATGAATGAATTCTTGTGTCTGTACTTGATTGTGTTTATGTCATGGCTTTGTACCTTTCACTAATAATTAGCAGCTTATGATTATGATTTACACAATTAAAATTATTTGTCGATCTTTCGCTAAAAAGTCTCTCATAAGCAATAAAGTTATTTCTAGTGTTAAGCATAAGGGGAAGCACAATAGTTCATAATTTCTGCATTTATGTGATCTCATCTGTTTCAAGGATGTATAAATGTTGAAACCGAAAAGGAAAATTCTTGCCCCTAATCTCCTCGAATGTTGAGCGCGCTGCATTGTCAGATGATTAGTCCGGTTAATCCTTATCGAGCGGCAGAACTGGCAACCGTGTTTAGCATTGCATCGTTTGCGGCGACAAATGTACGATCGCCACTATGATTTGAATCCAAGAAGAAACATAGTATATAGGAAGTTGGACATATGAAACAATATAGTATATTTTGGGTCACTGACGGGGAAAAATTATCTATGCAATAAATCGTTTGTGTAATCACCACTAGTGAATCACTAACGATGCGAAGAATGATGAAACCTTAGTTAATTCATTCTCTCTCCTGGCTGTACGAAAAAAAAGAACCACGAGAAAACAAAGGTTGGATAGAACAATTTTACTGGTTGTAGTAGAATAAAGGGAGAAAAGTAAGTCATTTACTGAAACACCAAAATGAAGATTTTGCAGGGATCTCCAAGTGTAAGCAACTGATCATCCACAGTTCGTATGTTCGGAAGTGACACGGGGGCAGCGGCTGCACAATCATGCACGATTTGGTGTCCATAATTTGGCGGCGTAGCGTTATGGAGCAAAGACCCGCCGTAATACCCTGTGGCATATCCTGAAGTCCTTACGCGCTGCGTCGCCGTTGATTACGCTGAGCTATCATTACTTGCGTCGTTGCGCTGATCGACTGCGTG